CGGAATCACTCATAGCAAATCATTTGTCCAAAAAATCATTGACAAAATAAAACAGATACAATGTAATTAATCTTTAAGCTTCTACGAGAGTTATACAGAGCTGACTGAACTTTCGATGTGACAGACTGTAAATGGTGATGCATCTGCAGGAAGTAAGTGTTATTGACAGGATGGCCTGCTCTCAGTCTATCAGGTGATGATACAGACTCTCAGATGAGATAAAACCCAACAGCTGTCATAAAAAGTAAAGCTGCAGTGCTGTAATAGGTGCTTAAAGCTGATAACGCTCCTACAGCTGAGCCAATAAAAGTCGCACTGCTGCTAACTGACACTTAACAGAGAATGACTCTTTGCAGATATAAGTATATACAGTATGTACACTTTGTGTTTTTCATTTAGACTAGCGTCCTATATACAGCTCTTTGTGTGTGTAAGGGGTTCTCAGCAATATGGTGTCCAAAGTCCACAAATGTGTTTACTCTCCAGTAGAAGACACTGATCCATCATCCACGCATCCAATTTTCTTTTGCTTATCTAGTTGGGTCACAAATGTAACAAGTCCAGTAGGGAAACAGACATCCCTCAGCCCAGTGACATTCTCCAGCTTCTTCTGGAGAATCTCAGTGTTCTTAAGCCAGAAAGAATTTATTATTATTCCTCCAGTGAGTTCTCAGTCTGTCCTGGGGTCCTCTCCCAAGAGGCATGCCCACGGAAGCATTAGAGCAAGATATCCAGATGGCTCTTAGATAAGATCCATAAACCATCCAAGCTCTCTTTTCAATGTGGAGGAGCAGGAGCTCTACGCCAAGCTCCCCTTGGATAATGGAGCTTCTCATCAAGGCTGAGCCCAGACATTTGTTTCCAGTATCTTGTTCCTTCAATCATGAGCCATACCTCATGGCCGTAACTGAGGGTTAGAGCTTTGCCTTTTAGCCAAGTTCCTTCCTCACCATACTGTACTGGAGCAACACTTTAATCCTTCATTCCAAAACTTGATCAATACTGCCATTACTCATGAACAAGACTCCCAAATATTTGAACTCTGCAATTTGAGGCAAAGACTCACTACCAGCTCAGAGGACCTGTCTAAATGTTTTTTAGTTAGACCTCAAAATTAGCGGAGCTGACACTCATCCTAGCCATTTCACAATCAGTTGCAAACTGCCCCTGTGAATGCCTTGAATGCCCATCATGACTTGAAGACACCAATTAAACCACATCATTTGCAAAATACAGAAACAAGGTACTGACATTTCCCAATCAGTTACTGTCCTCTTAATGCGCCTTGAGATCACCATAAACCTGGTGGGAGTTGACCCACACCAGAATCAAGCTCCTCTTTGTGCAGAGAATGCACATACAACTTTTGCTTTAGTTATACAGGAACCGGGTAGCAATAAAAAATGATCTTGGGACCAGAAAAGGTGTTCCCGATGTCAGGGGAACACACTGCTCAGCATCCAGTGGGTTGAAATTTATTTGCTTCTGTATTTGCGTCATCACTCAAAAAAGAGAAGCTGCTGTTGACAAGTTTACATGAAGTATATAGTAAATTTGTTCTGTTTGTTCAGCACTGGATTGTGGTGTCTGTTAACTTCTACTTCCTAAGTCGAGTAAAAAAAAAAAAAACTCAATGATATGTAAACAAACAAAATTGATGCTCTTGTGTTGATTGGAATGAAAAAGAGACCTTTAAATAACTGGTGATCTAAATCAGAAACGACTGATCTGAGTGACCAAAATATTCCTGTTGCACAGTGACCTAGATTTATTATGTAGGTTATAGCTGCATTTTAGACACAAAGTTCTTTAAAAAGGGAAACAGAACGTGAATTATTACCAGCTCTGTTTGTGTCTGTTGACCTCAGCTGACAAGAAAATAAAGAATATAACTCTGGTATTTACCAAAGCTCAATTTTATTTTATCGTTACAACATCTTATATAGTTTGGCAGAGAAAGTTGCCGCTTATCACAAAGTAAATACCCTTCAAACGCCACACATTTCCAACTATTTTTGGGTACAAATATCACATTTTCACTGCCTTTCGTATGCTGCCAGGACATGGACAAACAAGAGCAAGAAATCCAGCCTGTTTATAGAACTGGCTACTATTTGGAGAAAAATGTAGACCTCATGCTGAAGCCAACTCAATCCCAGCATATGTTTGTTATCACCAGGGCCATAGCATGGGGTGATGAGGACTCTCCTCGGCTGACCTCAGTGCAGATGACTAGTGATGGCCACAGCATCACCTGAACAGTAAGTCATAGAAAATCACAGGTCATACTTTTGATTAAGTTCGACATTACATTTTCTGCTTACGAACCATTAAACACTGTGCTTCACGCCAAACCTGACGTGCAGTTGTTGAAAACAGGATGTCAGAACCTGGAGACTGTTAGGGACACAATGAGGTGCATTTGGTGTAACAATGCCTAGACGAGAGCCTGATTCAGGCAGGAGGTAGAACTGCCACAAAAAGATACAGGGACTGAGACACAAGTTACTCAGGTAATGGGAGGCCACACACTCCAGGAGAGCAATAGTTGGAACGTGGCTGACAGGAACTCCAAAACCTTATAGCTACTTATAAAGGTCAAGATTTATTACCTTCTCTGTTCTCCATCAAATCATGGCTGACCATTTAATATACATAAGTACCAGTGTGCACAGCAGAACTTTTTACTTTTTTTTAATACTTTTTTGTTTGTTTGTTTGTTTTTGGTCTCTAATGATTTGTATAGCCTATTGCTTAGTATTAGACAATTAGTTTTCTGATTTGGGGGGAAATTTACAACTTTTTCTTAGAAATGACTCACAATAGCACGAAAGACAAAATTCCGTAGTATATAAACTCATCAGAGTCTAAGCTGTGCTAAAACTTAGAGGCTGTCAGTGGCATTGCACTTTATTCTTCAGTATCATCTCATATCAATGAAAGTCTAACCAAAAGTTAGCTTCTCTAGCCCATATTCCACTAACTAAAAAAACTAGCATTGCTAACACTAATTTGTAGGCCTGTCGCGATAAACAATAAACCAATTAATCGCATGATGAATGAAAATTATCAACCTCATTTTCATTTATTGGCTTTATCGTTTCTTCGTGTCTCTCTTTCTACTGAAGCCATGGCTCAACTTCGGTGCTCTTCACTGACTCCTCCCTTTATCTTTTCTTTAAAATGTGTTTTAACCATCCAAAATTGCGTTTTTGGATCATTAAAAGCAGCTAAGCTGAGAAGCTAAGCTATGAGCTAAGCTAACAGGCCGACTTCGAGAATAAACCTCCGTCTTGCCGAGCTCCAAAATTCATGGTTGAAACCCGTGCCTTTTTGTAAAAAGTTGTTTTTCTCTGCAAAAAGAAGCTGAGAACTTGTTTACTGATTTTTTATTAAAAGCTTTGTGTGAAAAATGTGATGCTAAAGAGCTCAAACCACCGACCATCTGCCATATATCACCATGTCAGTCCATGTCATGTCAAGGGCCCTGCCTCCCATTTTTCTTAAACAGACAAGCTGCTCAACTATCCATCCTTTGGTTCAGTCTTATACTGCCATCAGGTGGTCAAAAAAGGTACTACACTCCAAACAAATCAACATTCTAAAATTTGACGATTAATTATTGTTAAATTTCAATCAATATTATCATTTATCGCAATAATTTTTGAGACAATTAATCGCCCAGCAAAATTTGTTATTGTGACAGGCCTATTAATTTACTAAACTGGTAAAATACAATTAGTGGAAGCTAACACTTAACTGCTAATCGTTAAGACAACTGTCAGTCCGCGTCACACGTCTTCGTCTCCTTCCAGCTGAAGTTACGTTGACCAATCACGTCTTGTCACATGTACACGTAGTAAGCCAATAGCGTGCCTGACGGACTCTTTGAGCCACGCCCACAACAGACAGGAACAAGCTTGTGAATTTTGTTGGCGGGCTTAAAGTTGGCGAAACCTAATTTAATGGAAGCTAATTCGGCTAATGGTTTCCAAAGTTAGTGAAAACGCTAATCTGATAAACAAAAAAATTGTTTCGCTATTAGCTGTTAGCAGATTAGCATAACTGCCCATCACTGGTTCTTTAGATAACATTTAGCATTGTTCTCTATCACATAAATGGCATTGTAATTTATTGAAATACTGTTTAAGTTCTGATCCGTTTAGGCATGTTCTGTGAAAACACAATTTTTTTTTATTGCAGTTAAAGGTGGTACACTTTTTAAGTATGATTTTAGACACCGTGGTTTACCCTTTAGTAGTTGTGATCTATAGAGGTCAAAGTAATGTAGACTTGAAATCTAATCATAATAGAAAGATAAAAAGTTCAGTGTGGTGTTATGCTGGACAAGCCAACTCCCCATAGTATTTCTCCAGCTCTTTGACTTTAGAATAACATTACATCAGCCAACCAAAGCAGACAAAGATTAGCTCGTGTTTATTTTTAGCTAGTGAAGTTATGTTTTTATGCATTTTGTCTAAAAGTTTTTTCTCTCTTATAGTTTGTTGGGTGATATAACAAACACTGAACAAAAAAACCAAGAGGAGCAGCAGGAGTTCTTGAGATTGCTGGAGACTGTTATTCTCACCATCCTCCTCTCCATCATCATCCTCATAACAGTGTTTGGCAACCTGTTGGTTATGGTAGCACTGTGCAAGGACAGGCACCTGAGGTGAGCTTGTTTTTATTTATTTTTTTATTTTTTTATAGAACTGGAAGTTTGAGCGCTGCACCAGTCCAGTTAAATATCCCCAAGGTAACCAGCAGAGTTTCTCTTATGCAAAAATAAAATAATAGAAGAAGAAAAAAGACAATGTGGAATAAATGTGGAATGTGGAATAATAAAATAAGCATAATACATTTGTCTTAGCTTCCTTTAATGTTATCTATTGATTTATGTGTTATGTTTTTCCGGCCCTTGTCTATTTCCTGAAGATACTTTTTGTGGGGGTTCAGTTTATCTTCAGAAGTGTAAATCTTAATTTTTGCTATCTTTTGAAAGAATATTTGCTTATACTTGCCATGCTCATTATAAGGACTTTGATAATGGTGGACATATTTGTTTTTCACTTGCTATAAATTATCTCTTTTTATTCAATGTCTTTTTATTGTCCTTATCTGAAACAATCTGGTGAAGTTTTTATCCAATAAATTGTTTGGAAAAAATAGCACTAAGACAAGCTGCTACACTAAAATACAAAGTAAATGCTTTATTAATAAAGTTTGTGATGAATAATGTTTGTTGTTTCACTTCTTAGAAAGAAAAAAACCAACTACTTCATTGTGTCGCTGGCATTTGCTGACTTACTGGTTGCACTGGTTGTAATGCCTTTCGCTGCCATTGAGCTAACCACCGGCCAGTGGCTCTATGGAGAAATTTTCTGCCTGGTGAGAACCTCTCTGGATGTTTTATTGACCACAGCGTCCATCCTGCACCTCTGCTGCATTGCACTGGACAGGTTTGTTTAAAAAGGAACATGCATTTTTTAATAGCGCCGACATGTTTGTTGCTTTAGACTTAAAGACTTTATTAAAATTATAAATCAAAAAAAGAGGTACGAAGAAAACGCAATAACATAAAAACCTAAAAGTTTACAATGTTGTAGATAATTATTTTCCATAATTGTTTATAATGATCTGGAAAATATGGACTAGTCTATAAACTATTTGAATGTAGAGTTCAGTGTGTATGTTATTCCAGATATTATGCTATCTGCTGCCAGCCGCTGGTCTACAGACACAAGATGACCCCAGTGAGAGTGGCGGTCATGCTCAGCGGGTGCTGGATCATCCCCACATTCATCTCCTTCCTACCCATCATGCAAAGCTGGAATGCCATTGGGATCGAGGACATTGTGAGTCCTCTGTAGCTAAGATCAGAAACCATGGAAGATGTTCATGTACCTCTTTTCTATACTCAAAGATGAGTTCTCAAGTATAATTTTATTTCCAGCATCTTGTATATTAACACCGTAATGTAACTATCATCAGTCCCTGTGGAGGTTTTCTGTCTGGGAGCAGACAGCACTTTAACAAGCATTTTAAAGCTACAGTAAAATGTGCAGACTGTGATAGATGAATTTCTTCACTTAGATTTAATGAACTATGTGGCTGCTTCCTTTAGTCTTTCTGATAAGCAGCATCCAAACAATGTTTGTGCTTTTGTTAGTTTGCTTTTATGCCTTTCCAAAATAATCAAATTTTTTGGTCCATCAAACCACCCTGTTTGGTCAAAGGAACTAAAATGCTGTAGTAACTTTGAGTGCTGTAACACTGACACATAAATGCACCAAAAACAGGAAACAAGATGTGGAGCATGTGCAGAAAGCTTACATGCTGCCGTTATTGTTGTTAGATCTGATGCATTTGAGACTGTAGGTAGATGAGGTCATGGCATTATCATTTTCAAAAGATTGTTTTGAATATACAAAAATTCAAGGATAGTGTTCTAAGATTTTTTCACTTTAGAACCATTTTCAATAAATAGCATTTTGGGGCTCCTCAAACAAAAGTTATCAAAATCATAAAATTCCTTTTGCATATTGACGGCACCTTAGTTTTGTACCACCAACAAAAAGCTTTATATGTTATTCTTAGAAGATTTGTTTTTATGATAGAGGAGGGAGTGGTGGCGCAGAGGTTAGAGAAGGTGGGCCTGTGATCGGAAGATTGTTGGTTCAACTCCTTGTACTGACAACATTAAAATGTGGGTGGTATTGGAGAAACACCCACACCTGTCTCCACCCTCATTTGCCCCACTCTGGGCCCTTGAGCAAGGTCCTAACCCCCATCATCGGCTCCCCCAGGTGGTTTGTGGTTGCATAAGGAAAGGCATCTGGTGTAAAAATAATTGCCAAGTCTTGGTGCGACTTAGTTCACTGTGGCGACCCCTGACAAAGGGAGCAGTCGAAAGAAAGAAAAAATTATAT